ATATATATATATATATATATATATATATATATATATATATATACACATACGCACACACACAGAGAATATTTTGAGTTATGGATCAAATAGGAAATTCATTTCTTCACCTATGACACTCATTCAACTAGAAAAAAATTTGAGGAAATTATTTGTTACATAACCTTAGACCTTGAATTTCATTACAATTTTGCTTCCTTCAGTTTCTGTCAATTTCATTTTCATGCCAATCACATGAAAACAACATCACATTTGATGTGATCAATATTTGGGATAGGAAAGAACAGCGATAACAGACTACACATAAGGAATATTAAATTTCAGAGGACAAACATCATTTACCTGTGAGCCTGTAGAGTAGCGTCCAGGAGTTCTAGAACCAGAAGTTTTCCCTGAGCCAATGGAACTCTCTGTACTTTTGCCACTACAGCAATGTGTTCGCAGGCATTTCCCATACTCTTTTCGTACCTAGCCAATTAAATATTAACTTCTATTAGCAAGTTATTGATTGCAAATGGGAAGTAGGGTATAAAAAATATGTGAGTTTTGGTTTTTGATAACAATTATTTCCTTTTCCTACAAATACAGAATAAACTGTCCAGCACATATTTTGTAACATAAAATAATTATATTTACACTGTTGAACTTGGAATTTGGCATAACCAGTGACTTTGCAAATACACAATCATTTCCAATCATACCTTAGTGGTAGTATATCTTAGTTCAAAGACATTATTTTTAGCTTATAAATTTGATGTAAGGTAGCCTGTTGTGAAGATGTGTTGTAGCTAGTGTTCTTTAGGCAGAAATCGACTGAGAAAGAGTGGGATGAAGGAATGAGGAGATGCAGAGAGAGAGAAAGATAAGAGAGATTATTTAAAGACAGAAAAATAGAATGCATCAGGCTAAGCATTTGTTTTAAATCTATATTCTTTGACTTTTTAAAATCTTAAAACAGGTCAAATTTTCAAAGTCAGAATAAAAAATGGCAAATATTTTAAATTTATGTCCACAAAATAGTTATATTTGAAAATTACTGAGAAATACAACTGTTTTTCTTTATAGTACTGCAGATTAAATTCTTAATATATGTTGTGATATAAAATAAGAGATGAATATTTTTAACTAACATTTTCAAGCAGAGAATAAATCAATAATTTGGGAGAAACTTTCATTGTCGTGTTTAAAATTTGTATTAGTTCCTATTTAATTGGACAAAATATACAAAAATAAACAGGAATTTTCCTAAATAATACCTCTGTTATCAATAACAACAAAAAAGGGACATCTTATCCTGTTGGTTATACACATTCATACTTCACAAAGCAAAAATAGAGTGTGAATGGTATGTTAACACCTCCATTCAAATGATTCTTATTCAATGTTTGCAAAGTTCACTCTGTCAAAGATATAGCAGAATCAAAGACAGATCATTCAGATTTGTCTCAAGAATTCACATTTATCAAATGTTATTACTTTTAAGAATAATGATGGAGCCAGGCAGGCAGCTGGCAGCCTGGTGGTGCACTCCTGTAATCCCAGTGGCTCAGGATTTTGAGAAAGGAGAATGGCAAGTTCAAAGCCAGCCTCAGAAACAGTGAGGCGCTAAGCAATTCAGTGAGATCCTGTCTCTAAATAAAATACAAAATAGGGCTGAGGATGTGCCACTGTGTTCGAGTGCCCCTGAGTTGAATCCTTGGTGCCAAAAAAAAAAAGAATGGAGACATGAGAGGTGAATCAAAGCATGCATCATGTGGATTGGCTGCTGGCTGCTGGGGGCAGGAGCAAAGGATGGCTTCTTAGTAGAGAAGATTAAGGAGAAAATCTTCAAAGATAGGTTGGGATTAGCCTATTTAGATGGTGAAGTTGAAAAAAAAAAAGGGTAAGAGAGGGGAGTAAACAGTATTCTGGATGGAGAGAACACTGCAAGTGAAACAGAGTTATGAGGTCCCAGCTTTTCTCCACTCTGGAATTTTAAAATTACATTTCATAACATATTTAATATTCCAATGATATGTTTTGCAATCAAATTTCTTTGATGTTACAGTTATCAATAATTCGAAATACAGATAATTTTACTGAGTATTTACAAGTTAATCCATATTTTATTAAAAAATAAGTGAGTGTGAACCTATTTGTGTGTGTTTATAAGACATGTATGTTGGAAGGATGGAATGAAGAAACTTCTGATTTTTAATATTTTTTTTTGCATGCAATCATGCAAAGTATTTTCCTCAAAAGGACTCTGGAAATAATTACTATTGCCATTTTACAGAGAAGGATACTGGAATGGTTAAACAATGAAATTGCAAAGCTTAAGTGATGTTCTTCCTGTGAAAAAGTCCAAATCTTAGGTGCTCATGATCAGAAAGTTCTAAGATGCCACATTTCTAACATTAATATATGACCAACATGGGCACTGTATGTTATTATCATTAATCTACTAAATTATCTCTTTCTCTTTATCAGAAAAGAATGATACAGATAACTTTCTCAATTAGAACTTGGGAAGGCTTAGCGTAGTCTCTCAACAAAGGTAAGCATTATTGACTACAGTCAGGTGATTTTTGTACTGAATTTATGAAGCATCTCCAAGAACCTGACCACTGATCAAATTCTTTGTCTCTCTTTCCACCTTGTTTTTCCTAATGTATTCAGAAAATGGTATTTTTCTTTCTAGATGAATGTTTTTTAGTGAAGTGATTTAAACCTAAACAAATACTTTAATACAAAGAAAAAAAAGGGGTGGGGGTAGAAAAGACAGGAGAACCAACCATTCCTTTTCCTCTAAAAAAAGCAATAATGGATAAGCCATGAAATTCATCATGGGCTACTTGCATTTTCCAACAAAGGCTGAATGTTCTCAACTGATTTTGTAAACAATCAGCAAATCAGGAGATCTGGTGATGCCAAGTCCCACAGTGGCTACATTACTAACTGAATCATTATACTGACTTCATTTTGCTGTGCTGTGATTTGAAATGGGAAGCATATGTCTTGAAAAAAAAACAAAATAAAGAAAAGAAAGAAACATAACATGGACTGTGTCCATGAAACGTTTTTCTTTAGATTATAATTTAAAAAACCCTCTTTGATTGTGCAATCATTTGCATACTCTAATCTATATCACATGATACTGCATCTTAATTACTCCAATCAGATAATGATATCTTCTTTCAATGTGATGTTGTTCTAGAATACAGAAGACAGGAAAGGAGAATGTACTTTATGATTGGAATATTTCTTCCATACTCAAATCAGAAACAAAATAATCTTGGAAGCTGTGAGAGAATATCAAATATCTGAGACAATAACAAAAGCAAAAGTGACTACTTTTAATGGAATACATGGAAATCCAGGTGACACAACCAGGCATACTGAGGAAAAGACTGACAAATAACTCCATAAGACCAAAAAGCTCAAAAATAGAATATTTCCTTTTTTTCCAACTCCAAATATATGAGCAACTATATTAACAAGGGCATATTAGTGAAATTCAATCAGATGAATAAAAAAAAAGAAGTGTGTCACATTAGATTGGGTAGAGAGAAGTGATGGGAGGAGAGGCAAGAGGAAGGGGGAAAGGGAAGGACAGCAGAATAAAATAGACACTAGCATTGCTGTATGTATATACATGACTGTATGACCATTGTGATTCTGCAACCTGTACACTCAGAGTAATGAGAAATTATACCCCATTTGATTCAAATGCATGATATGTCAAGACCATTGTACTGTCATGTGTAACTAATAAAAAAAATAAAGAAAGAAAACCCTCTAAGACTATTTCTGTATCTACAAAGAACAGTACTTGATTTTTTTTCAATAAGGTATGAAGCAAACAATAATTTCATGTTTTTTTTTCTTTTCTGATATTGGGCCATCTTTTTGAAACCAATAAAAATACCAGAAAATTTAAAAATTCAAAATATAGGATAGATAAAACAATATACTTCTTACTTGTTATTATAGATAATAAAATTTCTTAAGCAGAGCCCAGCAAATTCATGAAAGAACAGGTAGTCAATACTATGGTTTACTGTCCCCAACTCCTCCACCAAATTAATTTGTTGAAAACTAGTTCCCAGACTCTAGAATCATATGGTAAAAGAAGTGCTTGTTCTGTGGTACTCAGTTATAGCAACAGAAAATGGACTAAGATGGTCTATATTTCAGGTTTTGTGAGGCAAGAGATAAAACTAATGATATTTTGAATGTACCTATTTTAAAATGTAAATAAAAATATTTAAAAATGCAATGACAGTTCTGGGTTTACTAACTAAACATATAAAAGGAAGTTGCATGAATTTGGCCCATGAAGCATAATTCTCTGAATTCTGCTCTAATGAATAAAAGAATTGAACTTGATGATTATATACATATATATTTAAAATTAGACTTGTGTAAAATACTTTAAATATACTAAAAACTCTAGGTTTGTTTCAGATCCTTAGGTACAAAATTCTACCTGAATGTCAAATGCAATTCTAATTAGTAACTAGTGAGGACTTTAGATAAGAAAGAGAGAAGCAATAATTAGAAAAAACTACAATAAGTATTAACTAATAAAAATAAAAATTAATTTAGATATACATATAAAAAGATTTTTCTGTTGCATAGCAATTTCTATGTTAACTTTAAAATTTAAAATTTGTTAGTTCAAATTTTCTGCTAATCTATAAAATAAAGATGACAGTAAATACAATTCACTATACTTCTACATGGCATGACCAGTTACCATGTTTCATCATTTCCATATTTTTATGTACAAAAGTCAACTTTTCCCTTAATTCCCTGATTTCACTTTCCGTTTTCAGTTAAGGGTTCTACAATCTAAATCTAGGTAACTTTCCCAAATACTTAGTCTCTGACTTCCCTAATAACTTTTACAATGCTAACCACTATTTCTTTACTTTTTCTCCTGTCTTTAACTCACTGTGATGTCTTGCTACTTATTATTCTCCTCTGAAACCTCTTTCTTTCCATCTGTATTCTTACTCACCATCTATATGCCTCCTGCTCTTTAAACTCACCAACCATAGAAGATTGCTAGCTTTTGACCATACCCAGTCCCTCTTCTTTTTGGGTAAAAAAGCTAAACTGTGTTTCCCATCTGCCTTGCAACTTAGTTGGTGCCATTGGTAGAATCCGATCTGATGCAAAGGGAGTAGAAGTAGTATGAGCCACTACCAGATGTTCTCTGTAAGATCCTCTCTCTTTCACAGATTGCCTTCTGGATGTCAACAACCAAGAAGACCACAAAATCATATATTGAGGCTGGTACTCCGTTAATTGGGCAATAAATAAAAAATAAAAATTCAATGAGTTGAGATACTGTAATTTGGCAGCAGGGGGAAAGTGGTAGTGGTGGTGGTAAATCATCATTTGGTGGAGTTCATCCAATGTAATATAACCTGCTTTCCAGGGTGAATTCTAATTCATTATGTTAAAATTTATGCCTTCTAATACAATATTCTTTTACTTTCTGTAGTCTCTACTTGGGACCTGATATATTAGTACTTTTCTGTATTATGTGACCAAGTCAACTAATTTTACGTCCAAATCTTCACCTAACATTGAAATATAATAACATTTTGTTTTATTTTTTTTTCCATCTTGATTAGTGTACACCCTTTACAACTTGCTTTGAGTCCCATTTTGGATTTTGGTCCTAAGTCAAGAATTCTAGAGATAGGTATCTTTATTTTACTTTTTATTTCCCAAAGCAAAACCATGGGACTTGTCATTTCTTTCTGGTAATTTTTGTTAACATTTTGCCACTTTATTTTCAGAGCCAACTCTTTCAATATTACATAATTATTTTTATCACCTGCATGACTCCCATGAGGAAACCTGGATATGGGGAGGTTAATTAACTTGATCCAAATCATATATCCTTTTAATCAGAGGAAGTAAAATTAAAAGCCAGGCAATTTGGCTGAGGGGTCTACATTTTCAGAGATATAGAGTCACAATTTTTAATAAAGAATCAAAAATCAACCTCGCAATTTAAAATATTCAGCAAAAATATTTTGTTGCTTAAATAAGATTTGAAAGTGAATATATTATGCCACTGACAATATGAAAAATTACAAATTAGATCAATATAAAAATTTAAAATTGAATTTTAATCATTTGACTCCTGATTTTTATAAAAGGCACATTTAAAGAAAAGTATGAAATATTACTAAGTATACCATTATTTATTCAAAAGATATAAAACTATAGTATTTTACATAAAATGTCTAGACATCTTATTTTTGAGTGCAAACTAGATTTTAAAAATATGGAATTATACACATATGTATATTTGTTTCCTATGATACCCTACCCTCATTTTAGAAAACATTTACTTCCTAATGCATAAATTCTATCTGACTGCTAATGGATTAAAGACTAAAAGTAAGTCTATAAGAAAATAACTTTGGGCATTGGTCAAATCACATTTTTTTTTTTACTTGAACACTCTCACCAACTCTATCATGGTTTTATGTTGTATTTGTTTTATTTTTACTAATATAAAAGATGAAGCAATATGTTTACTTACTACAGACTGACATATCAAGAATAATATATTAGATTATGTTAGAGTTGCTTTGCTATCATTTAATGTATGTCATTTATTGTTTAAATAAAAAAGAATTCGAGCTTACCTTCTTCTGTAGGACACAATGGAAAATGAATATAAACATTCCCTGTAGAGAATTGAAAATGGTGAAGAGATACGCCATGATGACTGTGCTTTCATTAATATACATGAGTCCAAAGGCCCAGGTCAATCCTAACAGGCAGAGAAGAGCTATTGCACCTATAACCCATGACCTGCAAAAAGAAAGGAAAATTTAGAATTATCAAATAATTGATCTTTAACACAACCATATCATATCAAAAATACTGACACTGAAAAAAATGTTATGGTAAGTTTTACTGACAGAAAATGTAAGACAGGTGGTATAAGTACTTTGAGATTTTAATGGGGCTACAAGTTATCAAGATTGAGGAAATATATGTGAATGAAAATGTTATGAACACAGAAATTCATTTAAGCAAAAGCAGATTTGTTCCATAAATTATTCATGTATTTGCAGCACATATGCAAATGGTATGGAGATGTAATTATGGTGAATGGCAAGGGGGAGAATTCTGTAAAGTTATATTAGTCTCCACTGGTCTCATTGGCATAACATTTGTTTGATTGAACTCCCTCTGTTATTGCTTCATCTGAAATAATTTTACCCTATTTTTCCAAATTTCCTTTTTTTCCATAAAAACTTTATGTTGACTGACAAAAACATAACTCATATTAGAAGGAGCCAGTTTTCAGAGTACACATATGAACTGAAAAAGACCTTTTCTTTCTTTTTTAAATTCTATACCTATGTAGAATAAGTGTGCCATATAGTGGATGGGAATAAAACAGTTCCACTCTACTGGAATCACCCTGGCTTTACTTTCATTGAGTCTTTGGATTACTATCTTCTAGGTTATGTTGGACTAAATTTTTTTTTTCAGTAAGATATTTTGCAGTTTTGTTGAAAAGAAGCTTAAAGGCTCAGGGAATCTTCATTTTTGGAAGTGTCTGTAAACTCAAGGGAGAGGATGAAGCTGAGAATGGGGATGGAGTGGTATGAAAAGAGTAGTAGATCATGGAAGACAAATTCTCACTCTCATTCCATTCTCTTAGTTTCTTCCAAGCTGCCATTTATAATAGTAATAAGTGGGTGAATAAGTTCATATACTTGTGGTAGGCTATATATTTATTATTAACATAAAATGAATTATTCTAATAGATGGGACTCCAATAACTGGAAATGGAATCCTTCTCAACTTCTAAGCATATGGGAGAACAGGACCAAAGGAATCAAGATTGCTATGCACTCACATAAACCCATCATTTTCTTTCCCAGCATGCCTTCCTTAAACAGAGCAAACTAACGTTTCTTTTCAGCAGACTATAATCCTCCATTGACACTGTCTAAGGAAGAAATATTTATGAGGATGGGAACTTTGCAAAAAGAAGTGGAAAATATACATATCTTTTACCATAATTTTGAGTTCCAAGTTTTTTTTAGAAAGAATTACATGGTCCCAAAGTCATATTAAAAAAGGATAATAAGTATTTACTATTTTTCTCCCACATCAATCAGTCACTCTATTTCAGATTTAAGTGCCCTCTAAATTGATAATATTTAATATTAGACATTAACACTTTTTAATTAAGAATCCCTATAGGAAGTTTTCTATTACATGTGGTCTATTTTCTTATATTAAGTAGGAAACATCTTAGATGTTAATATTTTATTCTACTGCTGACTTCACAAATACGGGAACATTGAAGGAAAAGCTCTCCGCTTTCTACAGACATGGGAAAAAGGAAAAATGGAAAGAATTGCCATTAAATCAAGGCAAAGTTGCTATTCAGATTTAGAAATAAGATGTTAGGAAAAAATATTCAAGTCAGCTATTATCCACTAGAAAACGTGTGATGGGGCCAAGGGCTATATGATGTAAAACTGCAATGATCTCCAACTTCAAAAGCAAAAAAATAAGCAAAAGCATGAAGAATTAAGTGAAATGGCATTGGGAAAAATGAAAACAAAGGACTCTTCACCAGAAGAACAAACTGAAAGTCTATAGCAAGGTTGCCCATAGGTTGCCAAATTGTAGTTTATTCTTGCAGGACATGTCATTTTAAAACATATATGAAAAATGTGCCCAAATTAACATATATACCTATATTTAATAGACCACTACAGACTTGTAGCTGTGTTTCAGAAACTTAAATATATTCATAAACAATGAGATTAATAATCAAGTTACAGGTGTCAAATTTGAAAGGGATAATTTTGGATATGTAAAATTTAACTTTTGTGGGAGACATTTTTTTTCCTTTTTGAAAATTTAATATAGCAAATCATTAAAAGCAATAGTCAATGGGTAATTTCATACCCATAAGATCATTTTGAAGATATACTATAAAAAAGTAATTTCATGTGAATGATGCCCAAATAGACAACGGAAATGCAGACATATGCAGCACAGAGGAACATATCACAATGTAAAAGAAAGCTATTCAAAATGAAACAAGTCTGTCCCACAGGAAATGCTATTACTGTGGTACTGAATTCAAGTGATATCCAATTAACAGAGGTGGAGCAATTATTTATTTATTTTTTTGGCAATACACCTGCAGTGTACTTATTCTGCACATAAGTTGTATGCCAGAGTATTTTCCTGCACAGTTTGCTCTTCTGCCTCAATGTGAATGACAGAAGCTCTAGTGATTTTTCAGTACTGATCTGACAGCTGGTTCATGGGACCACACTGATAAATGGAATTTATCAGCCATTCAGGTCATTCTTACTTGATGAAGGGTCTGTTATCCTCATAGCTAAAGAATGCATAGACATAAAGACAAGAACACCAACATTAGCATTTTATGACAAAGAATTTCATATGAAAAAAAAATATTCTCCTTCTCCCCAAAGGCCTCTGTTCCCCACCTCCCTAGAAGGTATTATAACCTTCCCTTTATATCCAGAGGTAAATCCTAAAATGACCAAGAGAACTTAAATAACAAGGAATAAAATCAATTTTACAATACTGCAATATCCCTTATGAGACTCAAAAATTTCATTTTTTTCATCATGTGCTCATATTACTTGTGACTTGACAGAGACATTTATTTCTTAGAGATCACATTTCTCTAGAGAATGAGAAATTTTATGAGCAATCTGGAAAAGGCTGGGGGGCATGCTTAAAATGACAGATTTCATGTCACCTAGAGGTATCCTTATTCTGTAATATTAGAAGGTAAGATTACTTAATTATGGACACTATGCTTCTAAGTAATTTTAACTTACAGATGATTAACCTGAGTTAAAGCTGAATGTTATAGCTCTTTGAAAATAATCAATCTTGATTACTTTAAAATTCTTAAGAGTTTACTGAGAAATGAAACTGAATAGTCTTTTTATAGTAATAGAGGCAAATGTGCAGCACCTGTTTTTTGTCACTTATACTTACTAATCTTTTAATCTCATTCTGATAAAATAAAACCCTAGTGCCCAATGAGTTAAGATAAATTAGGGAACATTTTGGATCATCTTTTTACAAACAAAATTTCTCTCAGAAAATTGATAGAACAAAAAAGGAAGAGAAACCATCTGTACTTTTTTCTTCCCTCTTGCCAGAGGCAATGTATTTTTTTGTATTATGCGTAAAAAAAAATGCTCTCACAGGGGCCCTGTCTGTGATGTATTTTGAATAAAGAGAACCACTGATAAAAACTCACTCTCCTGATGAAACAGTAAAGAATGGAGTGAGAATTTGGTATTTGAAGTCAGTTTGCCTGGGGTTTACATCCTTGTCCAGTCACTTACTAGCTATTCAGATCTTTAAAAAATTAATTAACCTGTGTTTGTGCCCGAGTATATATCTACAGAATGGTAGTAATTATAATCTAAGTTATTTTTATTACAATATAAATTTCTCGGGACAAAGAAATGATTTATTAAGTGCTCAGAACAGTGCCTAATACATAATATATCCAATAAATAAATATTATATAGTTATTATTACTAGACTGTTAAAGCTAGTAGACAGACTGAAAATACAAAATTATTCACCCAAAGAATAAAACACTAGGGCTATACAAATTGAGTTCTTAAGTTCATTTGAGGATGTTTCAGGAGTAATATGATGTGGTAAAAGAGATGTGGCTGAAATAAATTTGTAGATGGAGCAGGGAGTAACTAGAACTGTAGATCCAATATGGTAATTACTGGCCAACAAATGGCTATTTAAACTTCAAAATCATTTAAAAGTAATAAAGTTTAAAATTTAGTTCTTCACCCACATCAGTCACATAATAAGTGCTCAAAACCTTCACATAGCTAGTAGGTACAATAATGGATGGTTCAGTTCTAGAACGTTTCCATCATCACAGGAAGTTCTATTGGATAATGCTGAACTACAACACTCAAAAGAGAGTATTTATTCAAGAAATGTACTCAAAACAGGTATTTAAAGAATGCCACGGATATGCAAAAGACAGAGAAGAATTTCTGAGAAGTGATTATAATTAACACTTATAAAAAGTACCAGTGTAGAAATGCTTGTAGTAAATATCTACATTTCAATAGCTTAAAGTTATAAAACAACACAATATTTATCCTAGTATATGTGTTCCAACTGCATCAATATAGTCCATCTGCTATGGAATAATTCTTTCAACATCAAATCACACAGTACAGTGTTAAGTAAAGACAAGTACAGGGGTTAACATTGGAATACATGCAAAAAATTTTTTTTACAAAATTGTATCAAGGTATAGATGTTTAAAAAACTTTCAAAGGCTGCACACTCACTGCTGATGTGTCATGTTTTACCTTTAATGGGATATATGAAAATAAGAGAGATCAGGGTGCATCTCAGTAATTTCTGTAGACAATTGTGGGGTGCAGTCAGTTGCTCCACCCAATCACAAATACTGCTAATTTGAGATTCCCTTAGAATAAGCTGCAGCTGTGTGTTGTAGCAGAAATAATGTTCACTGGAATGGGAGCAAAAGTGAATTGTGACATTTCTAGGTTTTGTCAATTACAGGACTGGAATTGGGCTCCCCCTTACCATTTGTGCCTTCCTTTTTACTAGAAAAAAGTGGTAGTATAGCCTCATATCCTGAAATGGAAGCTGCTTATTGATATGAAACGAGTGTTTTAGATTTAGACCACTTACTTGTAAGATTCTAGTATACCAGAGTTTAATATACTATATTAGACCTTAAGTTTAAAAACATTTTCCCAATGATTTAATCTGTA